GGGAAATAAGCTTTGCGGTTATAGAAACACACTCCGATGAGACAAAAGCATAACTACTGTCCTGGTATGGGTCGTCATGGAACAATCGCCTCGCCAATAGTCCATGCTCCACGTGTTGAGTGTCACACGCAGAAGTGAGGTTTCAATGATATGGGATTTTACCTTCATAGGAGGTCAATCGTGGTGTTTCGGTTTTAAAGGTGTGAGTGCACAGACGCTCAAACAAAGTTGGTATCTATCAAGTGGAAGTAACGAATTTGTTAGAAGGAATAGCAATCTGGTCTACCCAACATAGCCCCCCCCCCCCAATGACAGCGCAGGATATGGTTCGCTTTCAGCTCTCACCACACCTAACAGGACCAGGTTTACTTGAAGATTTCAAAACCAGCTTACCCGCATGCTCATGCGACCACGGAACATAGCCGCCACCGTAAGATAGCGCCCATGGCGAGGATCACAAGCAGCCATCATGTTCTTCGCATCGAACATCTGAAAACATATGTATCAATAGCAGCTACCTTTACTCAAGAATAGTAATCCACATACTTGCTGTGTAAGCTCAGCGACAGTTGAAGCGCGATACGCTTGTGCACCCTTGGCAGACAGTGGGGCGAAACCTGGCATGAAGAAGTGAAGACGAGGGAATGGAACCATGTTCACAGCCAACTTGCGAAGATCAGCATTCAACTGCCCAGGGAATCGAAGGCAGGTCGTGACTCCGGACATTGTGACAGACACTGCAAAGGTATACATTCAGAAAAGATGACAATAGGCTAACGCTAATCATAAGACGCACCTAAGTGATTGAGATCGCCATAAGTTGGATTTGTGAGTTTTAGTGTGCGGAAGCAGATATCGTACAGAGCTTCATTATCGATACAGAACGTCTCATCAGTATTTTCCACCAACTGATGGACAGAAAGAGTGGCGTTGTAGGGCTCAACAACGGTATCGGAGACCTTGAAACAAAATTAGATCGCATATTTAACTCTTATCGTCAGGTACCGATTTTGGAATATGGGCAGCACCTCGATAACCTGTGCATACAAGTGTCAAAATGAGGCAACTGTTGGAGCTACATTACCTTGGGCGAAGGAACAACGGAGAATGAAGCCATGATTCTATCCGGATACTCCTCACGAATTTTGGAGATAAGCAAGGTGCCCATACCAGATCCAGTACCTCCTCCCAAAGAGTGCGTCAGTTGGAAGCCCTAAAAAGAGATTGTTATGTTTAACCATTGGTGTAATGACAGCTAAACTGCGATGAAGAAAAGTACCTGAAGACAGTCGCAACCTTCAGCCTCTTTACGAACAACATCTAGAACGTTGTCAACAAGCTCAGCTCCTTCAGTATAGTGACCCTTCGCCCAGTTGTTACCCGCTCCTGACTGGCCAAACACGTAATTATCTGGACGGAAAAGTTGTCCATACGGTCCAGAACGAACAGAATCCATTGTTCCGGGCTCGAGATCAACAAGAACAGCGCGTGGGACATATTTGCCACCTAAAAAATTTTGCACATGGTTGTCCCGAATCATAAGGCAATATTAGTAATATCTATGAAGAATGAAAATGATAGAAGTAATCGCCGGAAAAAATGTAGGGATCTTACACAACACACTACAAGCTAGTCATTGAGTTTTGATGCAAACCTTTTGCGACAGTGAACAGGACCCTTAAAGTCATTGCGACAGTTCGTGAAATCCAGTCTCATCGCATTAGCCATCATGAGCGCACACACGATTTCATTCTGCATGCTGTTCTCAGAGAAGTGTCAGGGTTCCACGCCTAGCCATCAATAGAACCCAATAAGCAGCTTTAACTATTGTGTACAACCTAGCGTTGAAAAGCACATTACATGCTGAAAAGAAAAGACCTCTCTTCACGACTACATCTTCTTAGGAGAATTTCCCAATCCAGTTTGCCGCCTAGGCATGTGGGGAAAAGCGTGAACCACCGCGAAATTGTAAAAGTTGCTTTATCACACCTACACGGAAACATCCCACTATCTAACAGGGAAGCTGAGGGGAGCACTTTGAAGCGCAATGCGTAAGAAGTGATATACATCGTTACGAGTGAATGGCCAGTGTCGAGCCGCCTTGTCCGCTCCGATTTTCGGCATTCTTATTTGCTTACTAGACTGTATAGTTAGGAGCGTTGAATTACA